GATGAAAACTTCCCAAAGTAGACAGAAGAGTTATCATGACAAGCGAAGGAAAGATTTAGAATTTCAAGCGGGTGACCATGTGTTTTTGAGAGTCACACCTGTGACCGGTGTTGGGCGTGCATTGAAGTCTAAGAAGCTCACTCCTCGTTTTATTGGTTCGTATCAGATTTCAGACAGAGTTGGAAATGTTGCTTATAGAGTGGCTTTACCGCTAAATCTTTCAAATTTGCATGATGTGTTTCACGTGTCACAACTCCGGAAGTATATTTCAAATCCATCTCATGTGATCCATATGGATGATGTGCAAGTACAGGATAATCTTACTATGGAAACGATGCATGTACGGATCACAAATCATGAAATAAAGACTCTAAGAGGCAAGGAGATTGCTTTGGTGAAAGTAGTTTGGTCAGGAGCGGCCGGAGAAAGCATGACGTGGGAGTTAGAGAGTAAGATGCAAGAATCATATCCCGAGTTATTTGAACAAGGTAAATTTTTTAGGAAGAAAATATTCTAAGTGGGGGAGAGTTGTAATGTCCGTTGATTTAATTAATTATTTAATTAAATATTTTCGATTAATTGTGAATTATTTGTTGAAATCATTGACATGTTGTGTTATGTTGTGAGTTGTTGACATAAGTTGTGGTGTTGTTATTAGTCGGTTAAATTAGTTGATTAATAATATTAGTAATAATATTAGAATTGTAGAATATTAATAATATTAGTTGTTGGGCTTGTTTTGGTGATAGACGTAGTATTAAGGGGTGTGAAAATTAGGCCCAATAGAAATAATAATATTATTAGGTTAAGTTAAATAATAGAAATTATGTTAATTAAAAAGGGTTAAGAGAAAGAGTAAAGAAAGTGTTGTACATGAGAAGTTGCAGAGAAGAGGAATAAGGAGAAGAGGCACAAGGCTAGGATTCACAGTAGAGCTATAGAGCAATCTCCGATCCAAGGTAAGGGTGGGGTTCTGACTCTATAATGGGGTTTATGATGAATGTTATGTATGGATTGGATTGTGTAGAATTGTTGCTTTGTGTGCATAATCATCGTAGCTATGTCTGAATTTGTTTGTTACTATATTGTGGTTACTTCTGAAATTGTTTGCATAGTTATCCTGTACAATCAATGAAATATCTTTGTTGACAATTGTTTCTTTTATTGATCTATTTGTTGCATACTGCGTTCTATCTTGTTGTTGTAAAAATACTGATAATCAAAGGAAAATTTAGAGAATTCTGTATTGGTATCAGTAACAGACTAAAGTCTGTGAAGAGGCTGTGTGAAAGCATGTTGCGCCGAGGGGCATGGTATATGTGTCGGTCGACACAGAGGAAAACCGTGGGTGTGCCGAGGGGCACAGTTAGTGTGACGAGGGGCACGGGTAATTCAGTTGTGACGATCGTCATAAAGGGTGTGTCGAGCGGTATAATTTGGTGGTGTGGGTGCCGAGTGGCATGTGAGTATACCGAGGGGAACCATAGTATTACAAAAGATTAATTAAAGTAGCAGAGTTATTAATTCAATTTATTTAGCAGAGTTGGTGTACATGTAGCAGAGGTAATTGATTAGTTACAGAGTTAACAATAATAAGTAACAGAGTTAGTAAATGCTAGCAGAAGGTAATTTTAGCAGGAAACATAATGATAATCGTTAGTAGCAGTAATTTATGGAAAATAATAGTAGTAAATATTTAGCAGAAGGACCTCAACAATAGTAGGAAAGTAATAACAGAAAATAACAGAAAAACTTTTATAAATTAAAATAGCAGTAGAGGTAAATTAGTGTCAGAAAATAATAGCTTCATTGATTTAACTGAAAATGATTGGTCAATGGGATATCTTTGTAGAATTAAATTAATAGGACTTTGTCGATAATAGTATTGGTATATATCAGTTGTTGTGATGTTGTTGTTATTAATTGTTGAAGTTGCAGGTGAGCAATTAAGCTGTGTTGTCTCTATTTATTGGTAGGACTAAGTTGTAGGCTTAAAGCCAGTGTTGGATTCTTGATGAGTTGTAGAATTATTGTTGTTGTTATCATTACATTTGTAATATTTTCGCATACATATCATATCAAGTTGGAAGCTCATGCTCGGTAAGTTGGCATGGATTGACAAATATTAAGTTGAAGGCTTATGCCATATTGACGCCTCTATTAATTGGCAGATTATTAAGTTGGGAGTTTTGCTCTATTGGTACCACATGTATGTGCATTGTAACGAGTCGCATTCCACATTGCATATTCGAGTTGTTGTGTTGATAAATAATTTCTTATATTTTGTTGATCTTTTGTTGTGATTAATGTTGTTTAAAGCTGTGAAGTGGTAATTTTGCATGAACTGATTCTAATATAATGTTTATCATACATCTGATTATATTGTTAGATATCTCACCTCTTCTGTTTAAATGTTACCCTTACGTTGGTAACGTGCAGGTAATCCAGAGTGAAGGTTGTTTACCTTCATTAGTTCGAGTCGGTGTCGTTGCTCTGATACGTAATACTCGGGGGGATGAACGTTTATTGAATAATTGTTAACTGTATTTTGTTGCTGAATTTTAAGTTGATTCTCATTAAGTACTTGTTATTTGAGGTTGTTTTCAGTTGGATAAAGATGTTACGTCATTTTAAATCGACTATTATGATTACGCTCGTAGTTATGAAAGATATTTTATTATAATGACTAAATTATGTGATTAACGGTTCATCCGAGTTTAAGTGTTATGTATATGTTTCACATGCGATTATATGTCGTTGTTTTTAGAAGTAAATGTAGCATCCTATTTGTATGTTGAAATTTTGTAACTCTGATTTTAATTATTATTCTCCGGGTAGAAATGGAGTATTACAGTATGAACCTTTATTTAGTTCGACACAATAGTATCCTCTTGGTCTCCTCTCATTATGGTCTAATGTCTCTTGAACACTAAAGGTAAGATATTGACGATCAAAGATTATAATCTCGTGTGTGTTAACTTTGACAATTTTCTCCTTAATAAATTTCATACATCTTTCACTAAACAAATGCCTTGATTTTAACACTAAACTCATCTTTGAACCTCTGGTTGCGAACAATGACCCTAACTTAAAATAGGTTGCTATCACCAACACAATTATCAATCAGTTTCTAATGCCTTTTAAGATAAGGTTCATTGATTCCACAAGATTTGTTGTCATGTTGTCCCATCGTTGACCATTGTCGACCATTGTCAAATGCCCAGGTCCACTTCTCCATAAATTGACTTCTCTTCCTGTAAGATGCTGCCAGGCAAAACATGCAGAGCACGTTACGACACAGAATGGTGTACCTTATCACATCAACGTGATCTATTGTATAATCAACAAAAAAATCCATGTGAAACTTTTTTATAACTCTCACACAATCTTCTTTTGTAAGAAATTTGTCTTCCACTTTTAACCCTCTCTTCGTTTGCATATACGGGTTATAAAAGATATTTTCGGATGACTCATATTCATATAAGTTCAAGTTTATCATGTGCTCAGATGGATAATAAACATGATTCAAAGGTAATGGCTCTTGATCATGGTCTACAGAGTCATCATTCACCATATAATCAACTAGTGTCTCATCTTCTTCTTCATCATCAACGACATTGACTTCAGTTTTGTTGTCGTCATCAGTTTTGTTAACAACTTGTGACTAGTCAATAAATTGAGACAACTAAAATTGTTGTAGTAAAATATACAATTCAATATTGTTGAACCCGAAATTTTTATGAATACGAAACATATTTTGAACATGTTCATCAACTCGAACTTTTAGCTGAAAATATTTGATTTGGTTATTGTAAAAAAAATAGATCTTTGTAAATAATTTGACATTAGACCTGTTGCAACTTCGCCTCTATTCTCTCTTTAAAATACGAGTTTATTCTAATGATGTATTCGAAAATGCATCTCCGAACTAAGTTTTGCCAAAAATGACATTTAATGTGTTCAGAGATGCATCTCTGAATTTATCCAAAAGACATATTTAAATTTTCAAAAATGTGTCCCATATAACAAGGATGGTATGAGAAATTGCCTTAGATAGAATAACACCAAAGAAGAAAACATATGTCCTCAGTTAATTCAAAAGCTTCAAGACATTGTATACAAAGTATGTTACTCCCTCTGTCCAAAAATAATTATCACATTTAGGAAAAAAATTGTCCAAAAACACTTGTGACTTTAGATTACCAATACAATTTTATATTCAATCTTCCAATTGTACCATCTAATAAATATTCTTAATTTATTTTCTCACTTAACATTAATACTAATTTGAATACACCAATAATTAATCAGGATAATTTAGTAAAATCACTATTCTCTCTCTTTCATTTATTAATATTGTTTTTTAATATGTGTGAAATGATCAATTGTGACAAATAATATGGAACGGAGGGAGTATTTGATTTTAATAATACAAATATAACCCTTTTCCAATTGTTCTTAGTTTACTTAGGCATTACTTACTAGTAAATATTCCTTTCTAGCAATACGGTTACATTAGAATAATTCTTATGATTATCTAATTAATCAATCAGTTTCTAATATTTTCTTTTCAAAAAAACTTATTTCAAACAGAAAACCTATTAATTTGATATTAAAAAACTATAAGAAACCAGTTCATAATCCTAACATGAAAAGAAAAAATATATATTTTGCACGTCCAAATTGTGTAACCCAAACAAATAAAATGTTACGGAATTTTTTTTTGTGTGAATGGTACAAGTAGGCATCAGTTGTAGCAATGAGTCAAAAATGTCTTTGTTTTTACACCACTTGTAGTCTTGTACTATTGAAATGTCTTTTACTCAATCATAATACTCATGTTTTTATAAAAAAAACAAAATCACTGCTATAATGACACTGAGACATGTTCCAGCATCAATAACAATCAGTCTATGTTAAATTCCCAAAAATAATCTGATTAAAATAGTTCATAAACCCATCTAACCATGGCGAGGATACTTGATCAACTCAAGAATACTTCAATTCCCCTGAATAAAAAGGTAATTTATCAACTGTTGACGTTATATATAATACGGATGATCAAATTATACGGGTGTATCTCTGACAATAATGTTTTTTGGCGATCAAGTTGGAATTCTTACCTTGCCTTGCAAATCCATGTCACGATAAATGTGCCATTTCCTGTATCTCTGCTCTCCAATTAAAGCAGGTCTAAGCCTAGGGGCAGTAGTACAAGTCAAACAACAACATCCTTTTAGATCATTTACACATTTTCTGCAGCATCTGCAAAACAAAGCTTAAAATGCTTTAATTGAATGAATTATATTTCAAATTGATGAGAAAAATATAAATCACCAAAAGGCAGGTTAAGTCTTGGCAACAAAGAGACTTACAGAAAAAGCAAGTTACAGTCAAGGTTTGCACAATTCCGATGTCTCAGTTCACTGACTTCTACATTACATATGTAGCATTTGGCAAACTTATCATCTCTAGAAACTGGAGTCATCCCACCTTCAGGAATGGCCTGAGGATAGTAAACAGGAGGAGGGAGAGACAATCGGGAGTCAAATACAAATAAATTTCCTACCCATTCTGCAGCACCTTCATTCTTTATATAGTGAGAAACACCTCCCTTCAGAGTATACAAATTCTGAAATCCATGCTGCCTGTCACAAGGCATCAAAGCAAAATAGCAAATGAAAAAAGGACACAACTTCGGTTCCTTAAGTTTGGGAGGGGGATTTAGGAGAGGGGGAAGAGGAGAGAGACGTCTAATGCTAACATTTCTCTCGCTAGAGAGTTTTATAAAATGAGCGGAAGTGTTAGGGGAATTTTTAGTCACCCAAAATCTTCTTAGTTGTTTTTTTGGATTCCCCCAAACGGAGGGGGTTCACTTGCAAACAAGGTGGGAGTCCATTCAAATTCTAATCTATAATCATAATCCTAACATTAAATATATAAATTTGATTCTTTGATTATACATAATGTATGGAGGCAAAATAAAAATCAATAACAACAACACCCAAGTCTTATCCCACTAAGTGGAATCGGCTACATGGATCAACTTTCGCCATAATGTTCTATCAAGGATCACACTTTTATCCAAATCATCTCGAAATATTTCGTAATAACTTCTCATATAGTCTTTTTAGGTCTTTCTCTTCCTCTAGTTGTTTGACTCCTCTCAATTTGGTCTCCTCTCCTTACGACAAAATCTACAGGTCTTCTCTCTATATGTCCAAACCGTCTAAGTCTATTTTTCACCATCTTCTCTACTATAGGCTACCTCAATTCATTTCTAATCTTATCCTGTCAAGTCTTACTTCACATCCACCGCAACATCCTCATATTTGTCACGCTTACTTTATTCTCATGTTGATTCTTAATTGTTCGACATTTTGTCCCGTACAACATCATAGGTCTTACCGCATTCCTATAAAATTTTCCCTTCAGCTTGAGTGGTACATTTGTGTCACATAAAACAACTGATGTCTTTCTCTATTTCAGCCACCCAATTTGAATTTGATGGTTTACATCCCCTTCTAACTTCTCACGTTTCGGCATTGTTACACGGTTACACCTAAGTCATTCTTTAAAACAGCCCTTTTTTACTCTAACTTTACCCTGGACACTTTCATTTTACCACCATAATTTTTTATTCCTAAGTCCAAAACCTCTTGATTCGTGAAGTAATAAAAATAAAAATCATGAAGTAATAACTTACCTCAGTATTGTAGAATACACATCACACCGAATCCCTCCTGTGCAATACATCAATATGTTTGCATTTTCTTTATCTACATTTGACAAAGGATCTGAAGCAGTGATCTGAATAACGCATATAAAAGAGTATGAAAAGCCCAATCTAAGATGAGAAAAAATTGCAACCATTGATTCATGGATCCCAATCTAAGATGTATGAAAAGCCCAGTACAACGCTGGGCCAAATGCAAAAAGTAAGTTAAATGAAACCCATATTGGCAGCTATTAACCAAGATTTTACAGCATTACGTTGACTAAAAATAGTTCTACATCTTGATGGCATGTTTCAGCTTATCATAAGATCATATCAATTCAAAATCAGCCCACATTTCGTCAATGAAACATCAAAATATGACTGGACCTCTTCTTGAGACAGTCCAAACGAAGTGCTCCTAAAACAGTCCACGTTAGGTCGTTGAGCGCCACGAAAATGTCCAATGTCCCACTCATAACCTGAATAATGGCAACAATACTATATTCAAGTTATAACCATGACAGCGATAATATTCTAAAATAGTACACAGATAAATATGAGCAACAAATTTTCCTTTTGAGACTGTCATGCCATTGCCAAAAGAAGTCATTCCTTAGACAGTGTTAGACCAATATATTTTAGCATTTGTTTTAGAAAATATAACCAATTGCATTATGTTGAACAGCTGGGGAATAGAGTAGACTACAACTTAGCCATTGATTATTAAGCTACAAAGTTCTATTAATCATAGTTACCCCTTTGATTACTATGTCGAATATCGATTGATAGGAGTCAGGCTATAACTAAGAGATCAAGTGTGCTGCCCGTGTCCAATTTCTCTCTCTTCCAACATGGTATCAGCGATGCTTATATCTTCAATGACCTAATCCACTACCACCATGCTCCCAAATATTGAATTCCTTTGTTTGGTTCCACCACAATGACCTAACTTATTATTATTGATGTAAATAATCCCAACTAAGTGGTGGCAATGACATTAATTGGGCATACAACCAGTAAAGGTGAATAACTGTTACATGTTTCCTTGGGAAACCACCATGTCATGTGGTCCACATTGAGCTAGCACAAGTAACTGATGACAATAGATCCCCCTATTTTGATTCTAGTTTTGAAATCCATGTAACTAGCTTTTTCTGAAGGTCTCAACTTCAGGAATATAAAAATAAAATCATGACTAGTTCTGCCAAACCAGAACTTGCGACCCTCCACACCTTTTTCCTCTTCTTTCCCATGTTAGCTAACTAGTAACCATACCTTCTCCTTCATCACGTATCAATTGCTTCGGAATTTCCTCTGATGTTATCTCTTTTTCAAACGAACAATCACCAAGCTGCCCAATCAAGCAAGTTTCCTCTTATCCATGGTATAGGAATTGAGAACCTATGTGCCTCCACAAATAGGCGCAGCAACAGCCACAATGACATGGCAGAAAAGACAGACACCCGTGAAAGACTTCCAGAGACGAAAATGAAGTTGTGTTTTGGAGTTGGGTTGACGTAGCCCGGGGGCGCATATGTAGTCATGCTGAGTGGACATGTTGCTCAAAATTGCCAGACTTAGCTGCCAAATCTTTTCTGGGCATCACAGACCCAATGATAACATTTGTTGTGGTCTTATTTGCAGTGGTGATTTCCAAGTCGTAGTCGCAGCTGTTGGTCATAATGTGTGCAGGAGGGTGTAATCATGATGGTCCTCAATGGTCAGGGTCATTTTGCAAATATTGACAATATATTGAATTTACTGGTCATTCATTTTAATGATTCAAATATACAAGAACAAGACAGGAAATATAAAAGGGGTAAAGTAAGTTAAGGAAATAAAGGAAGTGTAGAAGTATACCATTTCTGACATCCAATATAATGTTATTTGTGTTGGGATTTTGATTGATGGCTTGTAATCTATGTCTCCATTGTGAAGGTGATAAAGGTAGGGCCCGCATTGAAGGATCGAGCAATGGAAGATCTGATATGCCATGTTTAAACTGTAGAAAAATGAAAGTGATAAGTTGATAGTGTTGTTGTAAGGCGGCAGCTACTTATGATATACATATGGCTTGCCTGTACTAAGGAAGGCTTATAGCGCAACTTCAATGATGGAAAGGTATGGCCAGCTTCCGATGGAGAAATCTGAACGAGGATGTCGGAAAACCTGGTATCCTGTTTTATCCAGTTGACATAAGTGATAGCGTCTTTTGATGGCCCACTATACTGGAATAATATATCACATAGAAAAGGATCAGAAGCCTGTCATCTATTTTCAAGGATTGATTATACAGATAATAAATACCTGCGCATTAATCCCTTGTTGATTCAAATAAATTCTTCCATTGATGTCTAGACCCTGGAATTCAATTCAGATAAAGAAAAGTATGAACTGTACATTATATGCAAATAGAAAGCTCTAGAAAGCAAACCTCCAATTCCAAGAAAGAGAGGTGTTTGGCGACTAGTTCTTGTGGGTTTTTGATCAACACAAAATGATAGAAATTAACGACAACAAAATCCCTTGAACTTGACCACGCTTCTTCTACTTGAGTAGCCCACGCCGAGTTCCGATGAATAACAAGAGCCGACTTGTTGAATTTTAATTTTAAGAAAGCCTTTTGAAATTCAAACTCCCAGCTTTTATTTTTATTATTGCCGCACCACCTCGTAGTCGTAACAATGTGAGGAGGAGGGGCGAGTGACAATGTCATACCCTCGCTGCACCACCTCATCCTCCCCGTTAACACACTTATCACACCACCAAATACCAAAAGGGACACATGTTTTTATCTCCTACTTATTTCTTATTGTGTATACTCAATATGAATAGCCTTTTTAAAGTTTTTATATAGAGATTAAGCAATATAATAATATTATTATAAAATATTATTTTTTTATAAAATTAATTTTATAAATATATTGGAAGTAGTGTAAAGTATAATATTTAAATGATACAATTGAAAAAATAGCAATCATTTCTACATTGAAAAGTAAAAATGATATTCATTTTGAATAAATTTTATTTATTAAAACGACACTCATTTTGAAACGGATGAAGTATTTAGTATTTATATCTTTTGGACCGGCTTGTTTCGGCTTTAAAAAATGGATTTTTTTTCTTTATATTTTTGAAAATAGATTTTACAAAATCATTTTTTAAAATATTACAAGTTTTTTTATATTCGTTTTTTCTAAATTGAAACACTATTTTTGACATCTTATAACATAAACATACATTATTGAAGACCAACAACACATAGTCAAAATCGCAATTTTTTTAAAAAGTTGAATTTCATAAATGATTTTTATGAAAGTCTATTTGAAATAGCTTCAAAGTTAAGTGATTTTTTAAAATTTTAATATCCAAAAAAAAGTTTCAATAGGATTCTTCCCATTTGAGGATGTTAATAGTTTGCAAGAGTATGGTGACCCTTGCTTTAACTCCGCTAGATCAACCTCACTTTCTTCGACAGTTATAGGGTCACTAGATGTCTCCGGATCGTCATCATCCATTTCGACATATGCTACCCTTTCTCTTCGATGATTTTTATTTGCCTTAGCTTTTTCAGCCTTAAGGCGTTCTACCTGTCGAACTCTATCGGTCAATTAGGTCATATCTCTCAGGTATTTGGTATCTAATTTCTTCCTAATGGAATAATCTAGACCCCCTGCAGCCATTTCAACCAACTCATGTTCAAGCACTTGTATAAAGCATCTGGCTTTGAGTAGTCGAAATCTGTTCAGATACTCATCAATTGGCTCAGTGAATCCCCTCTTCACACTAGCCAGTTCTTTCTGACTTATCTTGGTCTGTCCCATATAGAATTGTTCATGGGATAATCTTTCCAACTGATTCCAATTGTGAATCGAATTGGCTGGTGTGATACGGTGGGAGAACCGACTTGAGGGTTTTGCGTTTGATCGCAGATGTTGCGGTTAGCAAGAGTCGCCACCGACTTTTCTTTTATCCAAAAGGAAAGGTGAAAAAGCACTGGAAAGACCTTTGAGATTAATTCTTGAGTTCGGGGGATAGATTATGAAAAGGGAAGGTATTAGCACCCTTTTCATCCATGGTTTTCCATGGGCTCTTAGTTACTTGCTAGATCACTTGCTTTTGTTTGAAATTGTGTTTTGTGTGGTTTTTGAAAGTTTTTTGTAAATATGTCATTGTTTAGGCAATCTTTGTAATGATTCTCGTTTGTAAGAATGTATACAAAGATGTTTGATCTTTTGAAAATGTTTTCAATTTTGTAAGATATTTGAAAGTGTGTGTGATTGTTTTGAAAATAGCAAGGATGTTTGTTTGAAATTGAGCAAGTAATTAGGAGCATTCTACCTTCTCAAAAGTCTTTCTTGTTCATTTTCTTTTCCTTTGACATTGTTGTCTTACCATTGATTTGGTAAGCAACCTTATCTTTAGATGTAAACGGGACGGGCGTGGGTCATCGTATAACCATGATTAGCAATATTTCAAGGTATCTTAGCATTCTTTTTGAGGGACTAAGATCATTTGTGAGGCAACTTAGATAGCGTCATCGAGGGACTATGATCTTGTATTTTGCTTGTTCTTGCTAAGATACCTCACATGCGTAATATGGTCATTTTTGTAAGGCAACCAAGTGGATTTACCCTAGGGGTGCTTGTGTGCAAGTGCATTGGTTTCATGCTTTGTTTTTGTCTTGATTATGGGTTGTCTATTTGTTGTTTTTATCTCATCATATACACCCTAATTACTAACAATACATGAAAGCAATAAAAATGCGAAAAAGTAAAGTCATACGCTATTACAATCATTAGGGGGATGGGGTGTACAAAGGTACAAATGGGGATTGAAAATTAAATCCTAAGTTACTATTACAACCATATTGAAGGGATAAGAATGTACAAGAAATGTAAAATGGACTTGTTTCGTTTAAGAAAAGAAATAAGTTTGGTTTAAGAAAATATTTGATCTTTTCATTTTAAGAAATAAAATAAAGCATGTAAAAATGTAAAATGTTTTTGGTGTTTTTGGTTAGTGAAAATAGAAGTGATAGCAAAATAGTAAGGAAAAAAGAAAATAGAATTAGCGCATTGTTGAACTAAAAGAGATCATAAGTTCTGACTCTGGCGTGTTGTAAAAGCAGAAATCATATTAGCAGAAATAGGTAAAGTCAGAAGTTCTGGGTCCGCTGGGAACAAAGAAGATTTCAGAAGTTCTGATGATGCTGGCAGAACTTCGTCTCCCTCTCCATGCTAGTCAGAGCATCTGCAACTTGGTCATTTCTCAACAAAACAGAAGATGCACATATAACAGTTATGGCAAGTTTCGTAACGTTTCAGAAACAAGAGATATCAGAACTATAAATCAGAAGCAAGCATGAATTTGATAATCCTAATTCTGAGCCCTAATTTCCTCAAGAAGTTCTGAACTAAAAATTCTTTCTACTTAGGCAGGAAAATATATGAAACCTCAGAATATGTACAACATCAGAATCAGGATGTCTACATTATATTTTGAACGTGCAAGTCTAACAATGCCTAAGTAATATGACAAGAGTCAACAAAAGCTTACCTTGCAGCTGGAAAATGTTCTGTGAGCTGGAGTCTGGCTCTGAGTGCTTATGATGTTCTGACCAGCTTCCTCACGTGCTCTGCAGGCTGGAAACTTTCAACTTGGGCTATGAATGATTGGAAAATTCTGGAACAGCCAAGGAGCAAAGTTTTGACTTCTTTAAGGTGGATACTGATGGAGAGTGTGTTATAGTTTGACTATAGAAGTTAGGATGGCTTTTGAATGTATATCAGAAACTGTATGGGTGTTTTTGGTCAAGAAACACTTGAGGAAAAATGGAGTTTGAATGCGAGAATTAAAAGCTAACAGGTTTTATATTTTCGTGTTTGCAATTTTTGGACTCTTGGAATTTTTGCAAGGGTTCAAGGCTTTTTTTTTCTCAAATTTTCGATCTTTTTACAGTTGCCAATAAAGTTACTATTACAACCATATTGAATGGATAAGAATGTACAAGAAATGTAAAATGGATTTTGTGATCAGTGGATCTGGAACTGACTGTTTAAAGCTGGTTTCGCGAAATGTCGCGGAAGCAAGAGTCGCCACCGTCTTTTATTTTCTCCAACATGGACAGGACAAAAGCACAGCAAAATTCCTTATGAGAACGTTTCTCGGTTCAGGAGGTAGATTTATAGAAAGGGAAGGTGTTAGCACCCTTTCTATCCATGGTTATCCATGGGCTCTTAGATACTTGCTCATTGTGTTTTCAAAAGTGTTTGCTTTTCAAAGTATGAGTGGGTTTGAAAAAGTTTCGTTTTAAAGATTTTAGATCGACTCTTGTATCAGTCCTCAAGAGTGTTTGAAAAATTGTCTTGAAAGCTTTTTGAAAGTATCGGTGTGAAAAGGTTTTTGTTTTGTTTTTTTAAATTAGAGCAAGTATCTATGAGTCATCTACCTACCCTAAGGAATTAGGCTGTGTAAATGTCCTTAAGGTAGTGCCATCCCACCATTGAGAGGTAGGTAGCACCACCGTTGGAGGTGTTCGGGTCAATTCGTTTGTAGGGACAGTGTGATCACCAGAGCAACAGTAGGACACCTTAGAAGCTACCCTTATGCCATGGGGCATGGACATAAGGACTTACTAAAACGTCCTATACTCGACGACCACGTTTCAAGGGGCAAGGCAACAGTGAGGCGTACCCTAAGAGTGGTGTGTGAATTTGTGTATTGTTTTCAGTTATGTTTTATCTTGTCATTGCATCGTGAGCTACGCTTTGATTTTATTTTGGCCATTCATTCTTTCATGTAAAGTTTAGCAGTTTTAAGGGTGCGGAAATTAAAGTGCGGAAAATAAAGTCCTACGCTATTACAAGGCGCGAGTCTATACATCGCCAAATTAACAAAGACCCGTTTTTTAAATAAAATGCAGAAAGTAAATAAATTTCCTAATTACTATTACAAGGCTTGGGCAATTACATAATATTTGAAACAAAAAATAAGGACAAACGCGCGAAAAGAAATTAGAATCGAATGTTCGAGGGCGTTGGACCCTTTAAAGAAATTAAATTGAAATTGAAAGTTAATTAATTATTTAATAAGAAAAGAAATTGTTTTTGGTTTTTTTGGTATCTTATGAAATAAAGAAAATTAATTAACATAAACCCTAATTCTAAATATTTTTAATTATTAAAGAAAAATATTCAAGTTTTAACCTAATTTACACTAATTAATTAATTACATGCTTATTTACAAAATAATTAATAATTAATAATAATAATAAGAAGAGATTATTTTATTAATAAAAAGAAAAAAAATGCTAAGAAACTAATTTCTACATATTTTAGTTTATTTAAGAAAAACATTAAAATTTTAACCTAATTTTACTAAGTTGATTATTAAAAAATTTATTTACAAAAATATTAATGAATTAAATATTAAATAAACATATTTTATTTTTTTGATTTCTGATTTTTTGTGTTATGAAGAATTATTTTTATGAATTAAGTAAAACAATAAAACAAATAAAAGAATAAAAATGAAAAACAAAGAAAGAAAAAAAATTAAAAGATTGAGCAAACCATGGGGGTGTCTGGACCCAAAGGGAGTTTTTTGAAGCAATTAGGCCCAGGAATGCAAGAAGCCCGTTTGACTTTCTAGCGCGTGTGTGGAACGGTTGACTAGCGTTCATGGTGGAATCCACGTGATGGCCTTTGGATGAGGTCTCCTGGGCGCGTGGCAAGC